TCATCTTCCAGGTCATACAAACCTAAAAAACAGAACCATATTTAATGATTCTTTATGGGCTTATGAACTGATTGATTTATTACAATGCAGCTTTGTTTCACATGGTCCACTGTCCAAGATACGTGCCATACCTGGAATTAATTTGGACTTCATGTGATTGATTGTCATAATTGCAGATATTTTTGTTGTTTGTTATATCTGACATCAGTAGCGTAATTGGAAGTTTCCGAGTCTATAAGGCATTGAAAACAGGCTTCATACAAGAGACAGAAGGACACCTGTGAATACGACAAGAGTGGAACACAGCTTTCTAGGAAAGACAAGTTGAATTAATGCTAAAAATCAAAGCATATGGAGGGGAACTTTGACACCCGAATCAGTTACCTTCGTCGTTGTCGTCTTCCGCTTGCTGTTGCTGGAGTTGGGGAATCCCATGCTTGCTGTAATAATTGAGTTGCTCTACAAGGCTCTCCATTTTTGTATCCTAGAACACATGATGAATGTCACGGCCAGTTACTCTGTTACCACTAGATCCACATTTACAACCAGTTATTGGCAAACGTCTTAATACCTTGCTATTCCCGAAAAGGCCACTCCACCGTTGTTTGGGACCCTTAGGGCCTTTAAAGGATCCCTCGTGGCTTGTCTCGGCCACGTAATTGGGGTCCTCAGTGCTGGAACTGAAGAATCTACTACCACTCGAACCTCGGTAGTTCTGTCGATAAAGTCACAATATCGCTAATTAATAACAACTGTATTTATACAATAAGACTCATTATGCAAGCGGGTTTCACTAATTGGAATTGCCAGCGAGTAAAAGCACAAGCGGAAGTGCATGCTACGCATTTTGAAAGCTGACGTCACACTGATGCCGAAAAACTATAAAAGCTTTGTGAAATTACCTCAAAATGTTCATGTTGCAATCGCGGTAGGCAAGCGAAGCTACACTTCAGCATTGTTTTAGTTGACCACGTGTATATTTATTTTTGGTCATGACGTTGAAATATCGTTCAAATTTTTTTGGTTAAAATCTCTACCTACTTTCTACACTGATTGCAGACGATATGATTTAACACTTAGATGTGAAAAAAACTGGTTAAGCTATTTATCCAATGTAGATTGAATATGCACTGTCTTACAAATGTGATCGGTGGGCAAAAAATATTGTAAGAGAGTAAACAATGAAGCCACGGAGTAGCGGATACGCCTCTTACTGCTAAAGCCTACTATATACGTAGTTATCACCTTAATTTCAGGCTTTATACTCACCCCGGAAGTCTTCCTCAAGGGAACCTGGCTGTTGGAGGGTTTCACCAGACCGCGCACAGCGCTCCTGTCGTCACGTACTATAAAACAAATCCACACATTGGGTCACAACCACAGGCTGGGCCACAAATTTATTATACTAGTTACTACGAATACAAAATATAATGCAGTGTTTTATTTATTTCTGTTCTAGATTTGAGGTTACTGTGGTAATACTGGAGAAAATATCATACTGTGCGAAACATGATTTAAAATGACGTTGTAAGAATTTATTTTAAATTTTGTAGCACGCCGGTGTGTTGTTTGGATTTTAGGCTCTTGATATAGTCACTTTTAAATACACATTAATTCCCCGCCATGTTGTAATTCGAGATTGAAAGAAATCGAAAGGTACAAAGCTTGTGTGGCTTCCAATCTCATAACGTCAGTAACAAAGTTAATCAAAACCCGTTCAGTAGTTCTCGAATTGAAATACGTGGGCAGACGCGATCAGCCCTATGCGCTTTCACGTTAGTCACACAGTGCAAATAACGCATAACAGCTCACACACAGCGACAACGACGCTATCTAATGGACAGACGTGAACTGCCAAAAACAACTGTAAGACAGAACGCGTAACTCTAGACTCTCTTCGTTGGGATTATATGACACTCTATGAAGTATACGCTACTGATTTCCTTTGATCGGAAATTAAATGTCTGCATAAGCTGTGACTGGTAAGTTAATTTAGATTACATTACATATCTAATTATAGCAGCCACTCGCATCCAAGACTGTAAGCGACAGCAGCTAATGTGCCAGGGAAATGTCAAAACTGGTACGGGAAATCAGAATTTAATTAGTAGCTCGTATCACGTATCGAAATTCAACACGTGCCACTATTTAGCTTCTGCTAATCATATGAGTCGAAATATTTTACTAAGTGATATGACAGGCTGCAGGGTAGACGGCTGGGGTTCGATCCATAGCAAAGGAAGAAATTTCTTGTAAACTCCATGTTCAAACTTCGCAATACAATGGGTTGGCATTTTTTTCTTCATATTCGGAATCTGCGCTCGAGAACAGGCTATCCTGACTCGGGTTATCGTGGGTTTCTTCATTTAATACAAAAATATAGGCCTATAGGGACACGATCTTAAAACAGGCCACGATAGCTGACCACTCACCACAGTCTAGTATTTATTTAATGTGTGCCTGGATCTTTACTTCTAATACACCTTCATGGAATGAGTAGTGGAAGTCCCGAAATGGCAGAGGGTAGAAGCCTTACCTCTCAGCCGCAGTTGCTTTCCTCCCAGCCACGAGGTGTCTGTCATCAGAGGCAAAGGCGTCTTGGAGTTATCGAGGAACACGTCCATTGCAGTCACATCGACACCGCGCCGAGAACATACCGGCTTCAGCGAATCCCTGTGGAACACGAACACAGCTCTAAGCTTCCTTAAATGAGTTTCAGTACCGAATCACTAACTACACGAACTCACACTGAAATCACTAATATTCTAGTGCAGTTATCGCTAACCCTGCTTTGACTACCAGAATCAAAATACATTTCTTCGTTAATCTTATCAACGCAACAATTTTCTTCGAATTTTAACAGCAGAACAATATCAGAGATAAAATAAACGTAACAATGATTCCCTTACATGTATTACATATTGTAAATCAGCTATGAACATCAGAACATACTCAAATCGTCGATCCCTCAAGCACAACTTGAGAAACATCGCTGTTGCTGATTCATGGCACCTTATTTCCGAAATAAATTCATTTTAAATCAATACAAAGGTTGGCAACCATCAGCAATCTTAAAGAAAGGCGTTGGTGGTCTTAGGTCTGTTGTTGCTAATAAAGGAAAAATGACACGGCCTTTAAAACTGTTCTGAGAAAAGGAACAGACTGTCAATGGGCGCGATTGTTATGCAACTCGTTCGCCATCTGAATTATGAGGGCTGCATATGTTGTGATGACACGATTTTATCTTTCGAGGTCTTGTTCTTACTGATTATTACGCACATTCCTTTTCGATCTTCAGAATGACGTACTTGTCATCCGGAATAACAAGCAGCAGGAAGGATTTCCATTCTGTTTTCCTGAAAATACAGCTTCGAGTAAAGCCGATAGAACAATTTTTATCCCGTTTTATAATATTCGACTCCTGTAAAGCATTCCATTCCGACCAGATCAATCTTTCGGCACTTCGGTTTGGAAAAGCGCCATGTCTCACTGCAAGAATGGCCTACACACCCCCTAGCAGAAAGTGGTTGATCTGTTTTGTGTCATTTCTGCTGCTAGGTTCATGAAGACGATCTATGCAGCAAGGTGAATCATCGAAAGTCATTACGAATTTCTTAGGACTCGTGTTTCTTGTGAATTCCCCGGTTAAAATCCAATATCGAGTTAGATGTCAGTCCAGCATCTGACATGCATTCTGGAGGTACTAGGTTCACGTCTAGTATGGCCAGGGACTGGTTACAGTGACAGAATTTATTTATATTTTTCCTGAATCCTAAGGATTTCCGTTGCATATTATTATCAGTATTTCCTTCGAGGAACTCAGGTAAAAAAACACGTGGAAGTTTAGTCTCCGAACCGAGATTCGTACTCAGGACCTCCAGAGTATAATGCAGTCGCGCAGACTACACGACCGAGATGTTCAGTCTTTAAGCACTCTAGAATCGCTGTAACAGCGTCTCGAACGAACTTCGTCTCACACATGAAGTGATGAGTGTTATGAGTACGATGTAAGCCTACCACCTTCTGGCCTTTAAGCTACTTGCTAACACATTAAGCTTTTGTCATGGGCTCTGATTAAATCTCTGACGCTTCTAGCACTCTGGGCTTTTCTTTTGTCTCAAGTCGAGTGGCGGGCATCTTACATCATAAAGATAATACCATAAATAAGTTCTAACACTGAAATTAAGCGAGAAAAATCCAGAAGTGACACTTTTCAGACTACAGACAGCGGTGATCTGCACAAAATTCTTATAAGCTAACCCAGAGGTTCCCAAACTTTTATACCTTGCGCCCACCTTAAAACATTTCATAAATTTCACGCCTCCCAGCCAGTATTCCGACAGATATTTTAACCACACAACTCCCAAACCGAAAGCAAGAATGCTAACCAATCAAGCACGATGTTCGGTAGAGTGAATGTTCTGTTTTTTAACGGGCATGAGACATATACAATTTACAAAAGCTCAGTTTGTATTTACAAGATAAATGGGGTTAATGATACCTTTTGCATAAAATCGGAAGATACTGGATGCATTCCTGTCATTTTAACACCGCAGCTGAAGAGTCTATGTAGTAGCTGCTGTAAACATTCCTTTCGAATGAGAGTTCAATAATTGCTCTAGGGAAAACATGAAATGAACCTTGGACGTAGGTGAGTCCGAAGATGGCTATCTTCTGGGTTGTAACGCCGTGTTGTCCGGAAGAAATTTACCAGTGTTTCAGAGGTATTTGTTTCCTCTATCATCAAGGCGATTCGCTATAACCCAGAAGACAGCCACCTTTTAACTTCAGATGATTTTTACGCAAATAATCGACGGCTTCCTTCAATACTTACGAAAGATATGTGCCTTTGGTAGCAGGTATGAACTCCTCTGACGGCAAGGAGTGATCATCACCAGCCGTAGCCAGCACTCCGCACTCGAAGTTCACGCTGAAGTACTCGGAACTGGACACCTGAAAAAAAAATCACACTTACAAAACTTCAAAACGGAGCAAAACATAACAAGCTATGTGAGGTTTTCACGGCGGTGAGTCTAAAGATGACTGTCTTCTGGGCTGTTGCGCCGTGTAGTCAAGTAGAAGTTTACCGACGTTTCAGAGGTCATTGTAGCTTCCATCAGCGATGATCGCCCAAGTTATTTCAATTTCGTCGACAGTGATCATCCTACTGACGTCAGACCCATGATTTCAAAGCATTAGAGTGGTCCATGAGAGTACGCAATCTTCCTGGACCAGGTGGCAACAGCGATTTTCGATAAGCAGACTATGAATAGGAAATCTGAAGTTGAAAATTCATTCAGAAGTACATTTTCTCAGATGAGACACGTGCTGTAGCGATGGGACTCACCGTTTGACATTTCGCATGTGACCGCACTGCTATTGTGTAGCGAGAGACTGATTATTATGGAAAGCCACACACTTTTGCCACCAACTGTTACTGTGATTGAACCATCCGACAACTTTCGACAAGCGTTATTTATCGATTTATTATCGTCAGCTTTCAACTCTTTAGCGCAGAGAAAGAATGAAAATCACTGCTCTCTTCTGCGATCATTGAAATGAACAAACAATAACGGCATTAGAAAATACTTTTCTCTCATTAACACTGCTCTGATATTATTTAGTAATTAGTCCGCACCGCATAGAAAACACAACATTTTAAAGTAACAAAGATCAGTTTGTTAATGCTGCTTAAGGAGATAAACGCTGTTTAGCCTGAGAATTATAAGAAACAAAAAGGTGCACACTTACAGATTGTCAAGAAGGTAGGATAGATAAGCTTTAAGGGGTTAGATACGTTTTGTACTGGTAACATACCCTAAGGTACGTATATAGGTATATTTTTAAATAAGGAGAGGGCCCTAAGATGACACTTTGCTCAGAACCTAAAATGAATGAACGCTGCCCGGATGTGGTATAATACTACTCCAACTACTGCAGTTTATGCTCAAGCACATCTGAAAGAAAGAAAGAAAGAAAGAAAGGAGTAATGGGAAAAGACAAAATAGTGAAAAAAGCATATATAAAAGTGTCCGTGAAACTACAAAAGTAGCAGAATTGGGGAAATTGAACGACACCAAGAGAAAGGAAAATAAATGTGGACAGGTAACTTGGCATCGAAAAAGAGAAAATTACAATTCGAGAGAAACGGCAGTGAAAAAACCTGAGATTAAAGGAGAATAAGAAGAGTGAGACAGAAAATAAGAATAATGGACGGTAACTGATCATATGGAGGTTAGAAATAAATTAAGTGATAGAACGAAAGCAATAAAAGCAAAGAGTGTGGAAGAAAGGACAGCACGGATGCAGTCATCTGTCTTCATTCTTCGATTGATCGAGCGAAGGCAATGCGCGTGTCGAAATCTGATGCCACAAATTTAAGTTAAAACATTTACGTTCAGCTTGACTGTGCAAACTACAGCTTCTATCTGCGAGGTAATTATGAGTCTGTTTTCCTAAGTGGCTGATTCTAAGGCTATGTGTGCTATAGTTTTTGCAAAATTTGTAAACAGTTCATCAGAAACTGTAAAATGTTAACTACTATAAATTAGCCACTAATAATGACTGGCGTAGGTAGGTCGATTGGGTTTGATCCCAGAAGAAGTGGAACTTTTCGGGCCATCGAGTCTCACCTGCTATTTACCCGGGGACATAAAGGACAATTTTTGTACGTCGTAAATTCATACTGGAATTTATTGCCAGATGGTCATTCAATTTGTCCTTATATCCTTCTTGTGTGATGTGTTTCTAATATTTACTTTTATAATTTAAACAGAAAAATACACTTTGGAATACAGATTTTAATATTTATCCCTTTATGTCTCCTCATTCTACGTTATACGTATAACGTGTTTCATTAAAAGTGCTGGCAGTCCTTTTACTGCCTTTTCATCGCTGCTTCCTGTAAACACTTCACTTGGCGTCTGTTAATTACTTTAGTCTCTACGTAAAAATAAAACGTAATCTCTGTATTCACCAGTCATACATATAGTCCACAAACCTGACAGCAAACTAGACTCACAGCTTATATAACGACGACACATTAACTAAATAAGTTACTTAACGTATCTTAAGATTGTCATGAATAGTATCTAATATAGCCCGCATATATTTGCCTGCAAGGTATGAAAACGATTAGGTTTGAGGCAAGGCACAGAAACATAACAGTTGGTAACCTGGCCACGAAAACAACTTCCTCTCAAACAAAAAATAAGGTGCTGTCTCTTGGGAAAACATGCTCGGTAATCGATTTTTAAGGCTGAGAAGTCGAATGACGATGTTGTGTTATGTATGTGACACATTTCATCTCCTTAAAACTCTCTTTAAGTTTGTCATCAAAGCAAGACTCAGTAATGTATTATATTTACCTTTCGATTTCATGGCAATTAATGAAATACTGGCGTTATTAAACTACTTTCGTTTACCAAAAGACGTAATGAGCAATAACATTTTATATATTCTTTTCTGAGTTACTTGAACGAAGTCAGAGGAATTTAATTCTGGTTCTTAATGCAGCTGTGTCTTTAATTCCAACTAAACATAAAGCTCACTTTTCAAAAACATCTCACTCAGAAATAGTACGTACGTACATTATTTAATACCTGAATTTGATAAAGATCTACACTCAAGCCAGCTTTTGATACGATGTTTATATATATAATGCAATTTTTGAAGCCGAATGTCACTGCCGAGTGGTTAGCATTCCTATTTTGTATTCAATCTCGACCCAGAGACAGGTTACTGTGACTGAGATTTGTCATGGTTTTGTCACTCTCTCTCTCTCTCTTGGTAAATGTCAGAACATAAACTTAAATTAGGCCACGATCATTTTCTACCAAATCCTTTCGAATTCATTATTCGTTAAAGATCTCATCATTCAACGCTAAAGGCCTAGTTATAGTCTAAGCAACTGAAATGGTCAATAAATGAACTATAGAAACAACTTCAGTATCTATTGAGTATGATAATAAGTACGCCTACACTTTTACGAAGACAGAGAAAACACTTTAAATACATAAAACAAATATATCTCTGGAAACAATTACTGATAAGCCAGTTACACATTTTTGGACGACAAGCATAGTTATAAGAATAACAGTTTAATCTGTAGTCAGTTACCTGAGAGCGGGCCAATTTGTGTCTGCGCACGCGCGGCTGCTCAGTACAGGGGACTATAAGTCGATCAGCTGTGTCGGTGGTCATGATGACGTCAGGGGTCAGGTCACTGGGGTCCAAGCAGTCGAGGTGGGTCAGGCTGCGAGAACGACCCTGGATAATAAACACAAATAAAATCGCTCACATCTTGTTCTTATTTTCACAATAACGGAAGCAGGCATCACGCATCACTCTAAATGACATAAGCAAGGTATTTGTGCGACACTCTATATACGGCGTTATACAGTCCTCATAGCCTACTAATACAGCAAGAAAATCTTTAAAATAACATTCCAAAATTACGTGAGATGTAAAATACAAAATAACTGCAGTTAAGTTGGACATTTTCTTGGTGAGTTCTTTTGTTTAAAGTTAATAACAGTCTAAAATATCAACATGCATGCACTAACTCAGCTATTTATCAAGCGATAATTTAAATATAATACTGTAATATTACTATGCATTACATCACTTATCGTCACATTACCTACATTATCACACAGCTATTCAACAATATTAATACACAAAATTAAAGGGCAGGGACTGAGATGGGGTGGTTACGTAGAATGCAACGGTAAAAGGAGAAAAGCAACAATAATTTTTGGGACAGATTCACAATTGATAAGACAGCAATTTGGACACAAAAATGAAAATTAATCTATTAAAGACTTCGGCAGCTACAAATGTTATCAACAGAAAAATGGAAAGGAAATTCTTTTGTATCAGCTTTACTTACCAAATAGATCCTCGATTTACCAAATTCATTCATACATAAGCACGGAGGGACACTAACAAGAGTATTAAAGTAATAACGCGGTATATTTGATCCGGCAGCCATATTTGAAAGCTCGACAGTGTTTTGTTAACGGCTGAAGATATTTCAACATCTCGAAGAACGTGGTCGCGACTCTCTTCAGTTCTTGAGTCGCACAAGTGGGCAGCAAAGGGAGTAAGACTATATCAAAAGAACTGCAGAGACTTGGTATGGTATTTGTTCTAATGCACAAGGACCCCGATGTTTGGTTTAGAGAGACACTGTATTTGGGACACTGATCGCTACTTAGATTCAAAGTATGCCTATTCATATACAAACACGATCTTACCAGCCCTCCATGAACCACAGACTGTTTAAGAAATAAAAAAATTGACAGTGGAACCACGGTTCCGGAGAATCTGACGTAAATAAGTCTTTGTATTTAAATTATATTGAGGCAATAAATACAATGAAAGGAAGTTTATACATTAGCTTTATTCTGAGTATTCCTTTTATACATGCTTTACAATTGAGTAAATAGTTTGATTAAGACATTGCTTATTTAACTTGAATTAGTTACGCTTAAGATGGGTTTGTGGTAGCTTAAATATGTTATAGAATTTGTACACTTTAGAGTATCAACATTTCGTGAAAACACCATATCTATACAAGATTTTGATCTAGTAGTACTACATTGAGGATTTGACATCAACATTAAGCCAAACGTTTCCTCCATAAATATGACAAAGTTTTAGATTTCCCCCCTTCTTTAAATCAATGTTAAAATCTCCTGCCAATATTATGGGCATTGTATTACGACCTTCTGTGGACATATATTCCCTCATACACAGTGCATTAGTTTTTGGTATTTTGTTTTTTTGGTGGGGGGGGACTCCAGGTTCATTATTTAATACTTCTATTATTTTTTTTATGTTTTCTGTACTGTCTCAGATATTCTGCAATACGGACTCTTTTAGCTTCATTGTCATCTATCTTGTTATCTCTACATAGTATGACGCAACACACAAACGCAGCAGCAGCGTGAAGTCGATGCGCCTTTATGTGTATAAATAAATGTTTGTAGAACCTAAACTATTTGTAATAATATGTAAAATCTGAAAACAGATATGGAAAGCTCAAGAGGTAATACGTATTTCGTATGCAATATGTCCAGACCCACCTCTTACGGTTTTCGAGAGGTGGGCCCTTAACGCTTAACGTGATGAACAATAATAATAAATAGGAATCCCGTACCTCAAACTTTGTTCAATTGTAAGAGACCACGATGTCAACAGCCAATAATCAATTGAATCAAAACTAAAATGGAGAGAGTGGAGTGCAGTATCACAGAATAATTCTTATATAAGATAAGTACTTGTGATATTCTAAAACGTTTTTAACAGCACAATATTATCTACTCTACGACGCACTTCTTCTATAAGCGATTCACAGCTCAGCTCTTTGCGCAATAACGAAAGCGGATTGTTGACGGCAGTAATGAAACACAACAATGCCGAATACACAGATGACGTAACAATTAGTTTCTTAGGTAATATAACAATGCACGCAGGAGTTCATATAAAAGCTGACCATTGTTGTCGGCCCATATTTGCACATTGTTGGTATGGATCTTACACATTTTTCTAACGCTGTTTTTGCCGAATGACTCTTCCGTATAGACGTATTTACGTCAAAAACCTTTTATGAAATCTGAGTTTTTTTTACCATGTTCACTAGAGTCCATCAGTGGTCATATCATGAATCAGTTGAACTCAGTCCAACACCTCACACCTAAAACGAAAACCGATGAGTATTGTCTGTCTGAGCGGAGAATCGACAGACTTTTGAACAGAGGTGCCCATTTGCGCAAGCGCACAGCCGTTCTAATACGCGATGTGGAAACATCGGCTGACTCTCGGTTCTCCATTAGTTTCCTAGTTTTTGGCCTGATTCTTGTATTTTTAGCATTTCATAGTTTACTGGATTTAGAACATGATAACATCCATAGTATCAAGTACGCAGATTACTCCAATAGTGGGGGACAACATTCGGTATGACGTCACGGCTTCAATATCGAGTAAATTCTCCGCTCAGACAGTAACTAATCCAAGTTATAAGACGGAGAAACTCTGTGTCTAGTATCACCATAGTCAGTTTCAATCTTTGACCGCTTTACTTCCAGGATATAAACTTCAGTTTCTATAAGATTAGGCGCTGTATGAGGTCAAGAGTGTGTTTAGACTTCTCTCCACGTAACAGGTAGCAAAAATTTGGAACACAGAACTTTTGAAACAAGTCAGCATCTTCTTTCTATCCACCGACTGTTCAGTTTTGCAGCAGTTGCCGTGATGACAAATCATCTACAGTGTGATGCGTATTGTAAAAATACACCAAGGCCGAGTAATATCATCAATCTACGACAGCAACTGCCTGCTGAGCAAATCTCAAGTTGCAACGCCTAGAAATACACAACTCTGAAGGATGATGAGGAAGACGAAGGTGAGCGGTGGCGACCCTTTCTGATGAAGCTCACTTCCTGCAGGGAATGATCAATGGCGGCGATTCGAAGCAAGTACCTCCCAAAACATTATTTTTGCTATGTACAAATATTTCACTGAAAATTCCTCAGGTACGAACATTTAATCCTTTACGTGTTACAAGCAGTGTGTCGCTTAGTCTTGGTCTTTTCCGCTCTGATTATGTAGTGTGCTTTATAGTAGGCTATCAAAGGCAAGAATCCCCACCTCTCGTCCTTTGATGATTCAAAATAATTACTATCTGTAAATTTCACCAAATGGAATAGGAAATATGCTAACAAAAGATTTTCGATAAAATATCAGGTGGCATTTAATCATCACAGAGAAGATGGATGTTGGTATAACGAACCAAAGAAGCCGACGATGGAATACAACAGCGTAACTATAAACACATAAACACAAGGTGTCAAAGTTAACCACAGTTTTATCCCGATAATAAAAAGCAACTGAGATTAATTTATAGCAGTGATACTTTATTTTATTGAACTATAGTTTGCGAACACTCAATATAGCTTCAGCACTTAGGAATTATTTCAGTGTCGCGTGGGTTGTTAAAAAGCATCCTATGAAGATCGAGAAAAGAAATCTTATCATTAACCGAGTGGATTATAATTAATGTTATAATAATTATACGGTGAGAGTATCAGCAAGGGTTTCGACAAACTGGTTTGGATTAAAATAATTTCTAATGTCAAGAAAGGCACAGGTTGAGAACACTCGATTTAGTTCCTTCTTACAGGGAGGGTCAGTCGTTATTGCGGACCGCCCGTCGATCCACATACAATAACGCCAGTCATCCCTCTCCACCCAATGTCAGCACACCGCGCAAATCGACTTCAACTGGATGACAAAGCCGGAATTATTTGATAAGCGGACGGACTGAGCTGAATACACTCGTTGTATACTGCAGACGGATTTCATTGAAACCTCTGTTAAATTTGAGACAGGATGCAAAGACAAAGGCAACCAGAAACTGGACATAGTCATTTCGTTGTTGAAATTACTACGAACAGATAAATGGGATTTCTGATACGAGCTGGGGTGGGGATCAACTCGACCAGAAGTGACTGACTGTGCTTTTAAACAGCATTAATTTGAGGTTCTTCCACATAAAATTCGATAATAATAACACATCTTTTAAATTTTATATTAAACAATTTAGGGACAAAGAGTTGCAGGGTGTGGGTTGGATTTATCTGGCTCGGGATAGTAACCAGTGGCGTGTTTTGAGAAGACTATGTGGGTAAAATTAATTTTTTACCGATCATTAGAGCAGGTGGTACAAATAGGTACCTCTGGGTTTTAACCGGTTGAGCCAAGGAAGAACATGAACTTAACCCGACCTTTATAAATGGGATTTCTGAGGCTCACTGAATGAACTGATCTAATGAAGAACCTGTATCACGTTTCGCCTCATCCCCCAGTTTCTGGCAAACCGGCAGCCATACTGCCCCCAGTGAACCATCAGACCACGATACTTCAGTACATCCATCAAGACTTACAAACTTTATCACGTACGAAGGATTTAATAAGCGAACAGTGTAAACACTGTGCAGCAGGGCGGGACCAATGTAATGTCGGTTCTATCAACGAAGTCATGACCACCTCAGTCAATACAAGTGGACTGCAGAAAATTCCAAGAAAAGGTAGGACCCGCGGCACTGAGGTCCACATCGAAAGTAACAGCACGTACACGTGCAGTAACAAGGAGATTCATCGGTGCAACTACAACTGCAAGTCCCAAGAGGACGTGTGCTTTCACACCCTGAACGCAGTGAGATGGGCGGGACATGTAGCGCGCATGGATGGGACAAGAGGTGTGC